ACCGCTTAGCACCAGACGACGGTGGATCTGGCCGCCGGCTCTTAGCTAGGCATCTGGCCGAAACGGGAAACGTCGAACTCCTTTACAGCTTGGGAGGCCCTGCAAGTGTATACACTCGGCTGTGCATCGCAGTTCGACACCCAGTGTCACCCCCACGCCACGATGAGGTGACCGAGCATTTTGGGTGCCCGGAAGCAGAAAAAAATAACAAAATCGAACGCAGCGTAAAAAAATTGAAAATGTTCCTTCATCGTTTTGGAGAATAATTAGAGCAACGGAATTTTTTCGCACGTTATTCGTTTCCGCTTGTGAGCATTCTCAAGGAAAGACGGAAAGTGGAGGGATTAGGAGAGGAGGGGTTAGTTCCAGGCTTCGACCATGAAGCGGAACGCGTTGGGCATGCGCCCTGTGAGAATGAAAATTTTGAGGTTTTCGTGTAACAATGGTAATAAATGGTACATATAAAAGGGGAATTTTCAACCTCAAATCTTTCGAAGGCTACCGCAGAACGAAGACGCACAAGCAGTATTAGTTGAGCAGGCGCGAACGCGGCGCCCTCATATCTTCACGTTGTAAACCCTGCTCCCCATACGCTCTGCGGCTAAGAAAGCCGCGTTCGCTCCCGAAAATACAGGGTGTCCCAAAAAAATGTATCGAACGTTGGATCGTTAATATCTCACTTCTAAAGAAGTCTTTTCCCTTGCTTCAGGTGCCAATCTGTACAGCTGGCTTCAACTTAGACTTGCATTATAGAACGAATCACTCATCCCTCTTCATTACTGTAGGATTACGGTAGAAACTTCAAAGAGGGTTTTAAGCCATGAAAGGCCATATTTTGCCTCAGAAAGAAAACAAAACAGACTGAAGACTTTCAAACTAGGCTAATTAGAGTGCTGATTATAACTGCGAAGTTCCGAATTTATTATGATGCTTCATTGAAGGGTTATGCCAGGTAAGAGGTAGCGGCCATTTTTTCAATGTTCCTAAAAAGTGCGGTTACACCCTTTAGAAAGCTTCGTAATCTTGTGAATAGTTGAGTATTGAACTCAGCGTCCATAAAAACCCCAATACACAAGTTTTCACATTTTTTTGAAAAACTTTGAAACGGCAGCTCTTTCTACATTGACACCATATGTTTCAAGTTTCTACCGTAATCCTACAGTAATGAAGAGAGATGAGTGATTCATTCTTTATTGTGAATCTAAGCTGAAGCCAGCTCTACAAAACGGTACCTGAAGCAAGGCAAAAAACTTCTTGGGAAGAGAGATATTAACGATCAAACGTTCGATACATTTTTTTGGGACACCCTGTATTGCGTTCTCGTCATGCAGTAGCCTATACTTTAGGGTTGAGCTACAGCTCAGTTATAGGTAAAAAGGAGTAGTTGAGTTGTTTTAAGAGGTGGAAGGCAACATAAACGTGCTACTCTTTGATCTTCTATAACCTAAACTAGTCAATATTCAGCTTTCTTTCTTCTACAATTTCTAGTAGCGGGTTTACTAGCATTCTTACGTTGGTCCTTACGGGTAGCAAAGAACGCAATCTTTAGCAACGTATCCTGCATTGGACATAACGCTAATCAAGTAGGAGTTGTTAAGCTTTTCCCAATGAGGAAAAGAAGAATTGAAATCAAAAATTTCTACTGTGTGGCAGGACAAAGGAGGAAATGCAAAATATGATTTGTTTGCCGAGAGGAGATGGAGCTCAACGGAACATGACTGAAGCACTTAGAAGTCTCCTTCTTCATTTCTGAACTCACTATCATAAGGCAGAAGAGTCCACAGCTTAGCTGTCTGTGGATTCCTTCCTAGCGTATAGTCGTTGGCTAATGGAGACTTTCTATCCATCTATCCACTGGATCCAGTCGTCACTTTCATCACTCAATCTAGAAAAAATTCATCCTCTCCTCTGTTTTAAACTAATGCCACCACCCTTTCTGTAAAATTATGCTCATACCACCTTGCGTATGGTGTTGCCACTCTCAAAGGTTTGGACTAATCAGCAATTGAAAAAGATGAAAAGTTCATCAAGTTGCACACAGGCTTCATTGGTAAAGAAGCATTTATAGGATTCTGATTGTTGGAGACTTCTTCATTTGTATCATGGATTCCTATTGTAGTTCTCAGAAAATCGGATGGGTATTTATGCATACTCAAGCAAGTAATGATGTAGTATTACTCAACGATATAAAACTAGCGCTTCGGTGGTCTATGAAGTTGGTTATGAAGAAGGCGCAGGCCTGCCTTTTGAGATTCGATTGAACTTGATCAGAGGACTGTATCACAGACTTGAGAGATAGCCAACAAAGAAGAGAATCAAACAACAACACAGACTTGTCTCTTAACACTTTAATGACTTTGCTCTAATAACATCATAACATCATCTTTCATGAGTATGTGCTGGTAAAAATCGGGAATAATGGTTTTGACTTTTATTAGAGTGGGTTATCTCAATGCGAAAAACCGCTGGACTTACTATCTACAGAGAACTAGTTTGAAATTTGACCCACGCCTGTTTAATCATGGCTTGTCCTTTAACTTTTTTGTCCTTCCTCCCCGTTGTTCAGGCACTCCGATGAATACCAGAAATCTCTTGCGATCAGCTGTCGATATGCGATGTAAGACGTAGCTCAGTAGTCCGGAACTAGAACTACTATTGATTTTGTTTTCATTTGAACAATTTTTGAGCTTTCGGTTCTGCTACTTCGCCAGATGAGGGCTTGATTTCGGCATTCAACTGACGATTCATTTGGAGAGCCTATCTATATCCTTACGGCCTTTCTGGAAGTCTGTTAGAGATATGCAATAAAAATCCTTGTATACAGCGGTTTCACAGATGAAACGGGCGACAAACAGGGAGGTTTCTCAACTGTCAATGGAAGCCAAGAAGTATAGTCGGTATTCTTTATCACAGACGAAATAACTAAAGACAGACAACAATCCCTGTCAGAATCGAGACCCAGGTCGGTGGTTAGACGCACGAATAATCCACAAACCTCGACAAAGATTCATCTAAGAATTTGTAGAAGAAAGGCTGAATTATCTCCTATTATTGGCAGAAAAAACTTGAAGTTGAAGGAATTTCCAAATAATCGTTGCGGAGGAACAATCCAGATGAGTATGGAAGACGCTGGCAGGGATCACTGGCGTACGAGACCGAATCGAAACTTTATCGGAACGCTTCTCAATTTTCATGTCATCCTTGAGCGGAGAATTGAGCTAACACAGACTCTTATCATAATCTTGCTTAAATATGCATCATTACAGCAACTCTCATGAGTGTATGGTGATTAAGATCAGAAATCTTGTGACTTATTTTTGCTAAGATCATGTATAAATGTGGAGGTGCATGTACATATGTGTAGTTGTGTGATTTAAATGGAGGCTTATTTCGAGTAATCAGCATTTCCGCAACTAACAAAGAATTGAAAAATTTTACCCACACTAAATCGTGATTGAACCGATTTTTTTCGCAGTTGTATCGAGGTGACTCACCGGATGCAAGTGTACTAAAAAAGACCCGTGACCAATCACTAAAAGCTGCTGATCACTTGTGTTTGATTGGCTTACGCGAACACGAAAGCATGCGCTTATGAATCTGTCTGGACTTTATCAAAAGATTGCGGGAACTTTGGTGTATAATTACGAAAAAATCCACCATAAAAGTAGAAAGAATTGGGTGAGCACTAATTCTACGTTTTCTTCGTTTTCGCATTCATGATCTCTCATCTTAGCGACCTCTAGGCAGGATAAATTTCTAAACGTCGTCTTTTTTGTAGGTTGATATATCTAGTTGTTTGATTTGTAGTGAGAAGTTTGACTAAAAATCTGTTTATGGGACATTGATCATGAAAATTGTACAATGATGCGCAGGAAGCCCTAACCAATATCTTTTGAACTTATAAGTATGATGATGTATATTACCTACATATAATCATTCAAAAGTATCGTTCCATAGGTTGTGTAACAAGTTCTGTCGCATTTTTTGAGTTTTTTTTTTTAAATGTTGGGCAGTGATTGGTAAAATGTGCATATGCATATGAAAGCTCTCAGTCTCTCCTAAAGAATTCGCTACTTCATTTTTCTAAATAAAAAAGGAATACGAAATGTTTTCTGGCTTCAAATCCAAGGGGGGCAAAAAATCATTTTCGACATCTTTTTTCTTCCCGCTTTTACCCACTTTTCACCAGCAGAATTTATTTAGAAAACATGACAACGAACAGACTAGCAAGCTAATCGATCATATAATTCCCATTATTGCTCATAACCACCTCCCATCTCCTTACCAGCTGATGCATGCCACTTTTCCAAAAGTCGGTGGAGCGGGACCAGCATTTCCCAGTAAATGACTCCTTCGCAGTCCCTCATTCCCACCAAAGCAGTAAATATAATATACAGGGTGTCCCAAAAAAATGTTTAGAACGTTTGATCGTTAGTATCTCTCTTCCCAAGAAGTCTTTTGCCTTGCTTCAGGTACCGTTTTGTAGAGCTGGCTTCAACTTAGATTTCCATTATAGAACGAATCACCCATCTCTCTTCATTACTGTAGGATTACGGTAGAAACTTGAAACATATGGTGTCAATGTGGAAAAAGCTGCCGTTTCAAAATTTTTCAAAAAATTGTGAAAACTTGTGTAATAGGGTTTTTATAGACGCTGAGTTCAATACTCAACTATTCACAAGATTACGAAGCTTTCTAAACGGTGTAATCGCACTTTTTAGGAACATGAGCATTTTGTAAAAAGCGAAATGATATTCTGGGAATAATATTGAATTAAAACATGCGACAGAACATATCACACAACCTAATAATTTATCGGTTTCCAACTTTTTGGCATCTGTAAAATACCAATAACCTTTGGAAATATTGCAATTGCTTGAACTCATTAAAGTTAAATAACTCGAAATCCGACATAACAATCCCTCTAGTCAGCTCTCAATTTTCACGTGGTGATCTTCCGTTGACGTTTGATCTGCAACAATTTGGAAATTTTTTAGAAAATGCCATGGATAGGATTAGTGCTTGTTCTTTTTCATACATGCGCCTGTGCAGTACCAACTGAAGTTGAGGTGCGTGATATCATTGCTTCGTCGAGAATCAGAGTAATAATACATCTTGCAGGTTACCAATAAGACATTAGCTGAGCTTCTCACACCTCCCGATGCCACAGCAAAAGTGAATAGTTTGCCAGATTCTACCGAAGCAACAACAGCGGAAAATGCCTCATCAGTTACTGTGACAACAACAAGCAGTACGCCGGTATCCTCTGAACCTTCCACAAACAGTTCTGCGGCATTTGCAAGAAGGAAAAGACATTTGGAAGAACATCGTAGACGAAGAAATGCTCTACGAAGAAGAGATGCTCTACTACGAGGAGTCTCTGGTAGCAGGAGGCAAAGAAGATATCATAGACCAGAGAGAGGAGGACGTCGAGGCCGCGGTAGTCGGAGAAGATACGATAATGGGAGACACCAATGGCGTGGAAGAGGCCATCAACGTAGCAGAAACCGTGGCCGAGATTCAAATCGCTATTGGAGGAGAAACTTCTAGAAAGATTGGTACCAACGAAAAAGCCTTGCCAAAGTGTGCTTTCGTGGTCTAAACAGAGTCTTGTCTATTCTTGAACCAGATTTCAACGCTGAAGCTAAATTCTTGGCTTACATTTGTTTCCCAGTCTATTATAGATGATAAAAGACTTTTTTTCAAATAAAAAAAGTTGAGCATATTAGCATATTCCAAGAGTTGTTAATTAGACGACTTGTTTTCTTTCACTACACTGGAGTAAACAATGGTTATAAGGAGCAGCTGATGAAACGAGTATGCTGAGTATACTAGCACATTTTGCGAAAGAAATGAGTTACTTCAAGACGAATACAGCGATCTTATAGAAACACAAGAACTTTTTGACTCATGTATCATAAATAATGTGCAGCGATTAACAAAGGCACGTCTCAATTAAACAAGTTGGACACTCCGTCGAGAAATCTCGAACATATTCCATTGGAGGAATATCACCAGATTACCGAAAATATGTTTTTTTTCTCAAATTCTTTTTTACTAGTCTAGGATGAACAATTTGGTTCAAATGATAGTTTTGATACGCTCAATATTCTCTTTTTCTTTACTATTTAGAAATCCTTCTTTGTCCTTTAACTGAAAACAGGGTAAATTTGGTACTTACACCATTGTTCTTGCAAAAATCTCCTTGAGCATAAGTCATATGATAACCATAATACACTTTTTTTCAACGAGCTTGGCGGCTGGAAAGCAACCGCTCGCGTCCGCGACGCAGTCTGCGTCTCCCTCGCGAATGCGGTCTCGTTTTCTAACCTTAATATGGTCACGAAGTCCTGCTTTCCAGCCGCCAGTTCAGTTAAATTGAAGGGTAGTTATTCCCTGAAACAATCAGAAATTGTCCTCTTTAGTCTCTTTTGCACTATGACTGAAAGGATTTTGCAGTTGAATATGCCGTGCTGCGTAGCCTAACTACAGAGGTCAGAATGTGGTATCATAGGATCTCCAAAAAAGTGAAGGTTTATTGAAAAATGAACACATGAAAGGCTTTTCAAACATATGATTTACCGTAAGCACACATTGCGGGAATTGAATTGAGACCACAAGTGCAAGCAAGCGTCAATATCCAGCTGACGTTCTCAGTATAACGTTAGCTACCACATGCTCGCAAAATCGATCAAAAAGGATTGGAAGCATTATATAAGGACGATTCGATTTTGCTAGCTTTCTTTGTGCAACATAACTTGATTCCTGCTTTCCTAGATTTCTCTTATTGTTTTCTACGCTGCGCAAACTGCGCAGTGAGTATGTACATGTGCGAGGAACTAGACTGCTATTTTGATGGAAGTTCGTGTTGCTGCTAAATCTCAACAAAGAAGATTTGCCATACAAGTTCCATGAGTTTCACACCTTTCCACCTACCAATGTTCCTAGAATCAAAAATAAACCAAATATACCCTATTTTCCGGTTTATAAGCCGCACCTTGTGAAAGCCGCACCGCCGCAGCGAACAATGGCGCGAAAGAGCCTTCGAAACGAAGGTTTTTGATCTAACAAACTGAAAACTCGCTGCATTTTGTGACTGCTTTTCGTTGCGCTTGTTCACTTCTTCAGGTAGTTCTTTATTCTATCTAGAGATTCGGACGATTTTGGGGTGTTTGAGTTGTGTTTTTTCCTCAAGATACAATGGAGTTGACGGTGCTTTCTTTTGTTTCTAGAGATGTTACTGAGGTTAAAGCTCATGCTATTTCATTCGAGTTTAATGATTGTTGATGATGATGTTGATGTTTCAATGGTGTTTTCAATGCTTTCACAAGAAAGGCGAAAGCAGAAAGTTACAATCAGGCTACTAGGTAGAAAAGGTGGTAGTTGGCTGCTTGCGCGGGTTTGCACATCGCGACCATCATCGCACATCAGCCCGCGCACCAAAATAATTGCGGCTTATTCGCCGGAAGATAGGGTAATTAAAATTGCTCTTGAAGGCAGCGTCCAGGCAGATCTGGACCTATGGGGCTTTTACGTGGAAAGTACTTTTGGGGCCCTAACTAAGGCACTGCCCAAGCGGAAGCTCAGATAGTGCTCTAATGGCTGAGATATTCGTCTCGAAACTGGCCCTCCGCGAACGTATTCGCATGGATTCATGGCAGTTTCGCACCAGGATCCACGCTTTGCGCCATGAATTCATGGAAACACGGTCGGGGGTCCAGTTTTGAGGGGAATATCTCAGGCGTTGCACTACCTGAGCTGCCGGTTGGGCAGTGGCTTAGTTAGGACCCCGAAAGTACTTTCCACGTAAAATCCCCATAGGTCCAGACTTGCCTGGACGCTGCCTTTAATATTAACAAATCGAAATTTTTCTTTTGGCAAGACTTTGTAAGAATTTAATTGTTTTGACTTTTTATTGCGCCTCAAGCAGCATATGATATAGACTGTCCAGGAACAAGTTTGATGTACTGATAAGTTTGATTGTGGTGAACGTCATACTGACTTTCCGTTCTCAGCGGAAACTTTTTGACTCTTCACTTAGCGAATGTAACCGGAGGCTTTTTGCAGAAACAATGTTAGCGTTAAAACTGTCTACCATTCTGCTCTTAATGTTTGTCTTTGCGCTGGCGAGCAAACCGGTAGGTGAAACAATTATTTTTTCTCTTAACCTAATTTGCTGGACAGTGAAACTTTAGATAGATCTAAGCAGATCCAAGGATGTGGTCGATTTTGAAAGTGATTCTATTAGGTTCAAACGGTTTCCAACTGGCGAGAAGAAGAGAAGGAGTAAGCGCGGAAAAGCCAGGTACACGAGATTGAGGAGGTGCATTAAAGAGAGGAAGAAAGCGAAACGTCAAGGAAGGAGGAGGAACGGCTGCTGAAGAAGAAGATTCAAAGACACTTGCTGGCCTATCGCGATCATAGAACAGTCGGCAACGTCTGTTGAAGAGTGCTGAAATAAAAAATTATTGGTATACTTGTTTTGATTTGAGTATACAAAATCAAATGTCCAATAGAAGAAAATATTAAGTCATCACACATGAACAGCGCTGTCGCAAACAAATTTTCCGATTGTCGAAAGCTTTTTTTTATTCTCATCGGCAATCCAAAACCGATAATAATTGGCAAGCCTCCACCTCTAGATAAAAAGAGATTATCAACCAAAGTTGAGTCATAACCAGGTAGGGAATTTTAGGTGAAACAAAGTTATGGGCAAGATTGCGTGTGTATCTAATATTAGGTTGTCCGGAAATTAATGCCCGTTTTAAATTCCAACCGCGCTAAGTCATATACTTCTCATCTCTAAATGGGTTGCAAAGTAGCATTCGATAGAGCAAAGCAAGCTCTACAAGATGGCCATCTTGCTTTTGCAACAGCTTTGATCCATCTCGAGTTTCGAGCCAAAAACTAAAAAGACTCACCAGTCCGAAAAATCGAAAAAAATCGTAACTCAGTTCATAAAAATCCTACAAAAATTCTAATTTGCTTGCGTAAACACTATCCACATAAGACATCAATATACGCCGTTGCGGTATATTTTTCTCTGTTAGAAACCAAGGAAACGGAAATTTTCGTGCATTTGCCAAAGTGATGCTGTGCCGTCCCCGCATAGGTAGTTGTATACCACAAGTCTGTAGAAGTACAGACTTAAATTTCCAGCTCTCTACAAGCTTTAGTTCTCAAGAAATACCGAATATAGCTTTCCTTACTTAAGTGGTCCAAGCTAAAATTCAAATTTCTCGAGAACTAAAGCTTGTAGAGAGCTGAACATTTGAGTCTGTACTTTTTCAGGCTTGTGGTATACAATTACCTATGTGGGGACGGCACAGCATCACTTTGACAAATGCACGAAAATTTCCGTTTTCTTGGTTTCTAACAGAGAAAAAAATACGGCAACGGCGTATATAGATGTCTTATGTGGATAGTGTTTACGCGAGCAAATTAGAATTTTTGTAGAATTTTTATGAAATGAGTTACGATTTTTTTCGATTTTTCGGGCTGCTGAGTCTTTTTAGTTTTTGGCTCGAAACTCGAGATGGATCAAAGCTGTTGCAAAAGCAAGATAGCCATCTTGTAGAGCTTGCTTTGCTCTATCGAATGGTACTTTGCTATCTATTTAGAATTGAAGAATGTATGACTTATTGCGGTTGAAATTCAAAACGGACATTAATTTCCGGACAACCTAATACAATATGTGCTACAAAGTCATCAGCTGTTTTTTACAGCCATATCAAGACAGGACGAACGCAGGTCTTCTAGGTTAAAAGTGCATGCGAGACGCTCACGCTTCCTTAATTTTTTGCTCATAAAAAGAAGAAGACAGTGGGAAATTGTAACAACGAGTTTATTGAACTTGATGCCAACGGCCTCTAAATCTACAGCAGTTCGTAGATCATCAGAGAAAAGAAACGGTTCCTACCTTTTGCGTACTATCGTATCAGCTTCCTTTGGAGTGAGAAAATCTGATAGTATAGTCTACCACCACCTCATACAAACACATCCCTTGATGTAAAACAAAAGTATCTTATCAAAATACACTAGAAACACGATAAAAGGACAGTTTCCTTGCCGCAATGTCGCAAGTTGTCTGCGCCATCTGTGTAGGCAAACTTTATATGAAAAATATATGTTAAAACAGTCATTGACTAATCCTGAATATTACTTTGAAATCAAAAATTGGTTTCGCATGATTAGCGAGATAACAAAGAAGCGTAGGTATATCACAAATAGGTTTACTTCTGATCATATAAAAATCAGCTGATCTGTTTGGATGTTTCCATGTGCAGCATGTCCTGACAGATATGACTGAACTTTTTCAAAAGTATTGATTCAATGGATTCATGCTATGGAACGAGTAAAAATCTAAACATACAACTGGGGACAAAATATTGGACAGGTTCATTTAACATTTTTCATCGAGCCAACAACTCGCTTTTTCTCAAAAGTTTTTCAGTAAGTTAAGGACACAACACTGATGGTGAGAGTCACAGTGATTTTCTTATCGGACGCTGAAATAACACAAAGTTGTTAGTATTATTGTTTGCATTGACTACAGTACAGTCTTGCTATGCTGCTAATTTATTTCTTCAGGGTCAAAATTATTGAAAAATCAATCATAGCTCTAGTTTCAAAATTACTGCACGTATTCAAGCTACTCTGTTAATAATGTCCAAGAAAAAGTATACTGGGTCCAAAAAGTCCCGGCGCTATTCCAGTATCCGGGCCCCAAAATTTTTTTGTCGTGGATTTCGCTAAAACTTCGCCCAGGGGGTTATTCGGCCCGCTGATGCCGAATATCACATTGGTTTTGTACGGTAGCGTCATTTTCTGAGGTTACGGTGGGTATACGTTAAAGGGTCAAAATCACAGAATTCGCTGAAACTTGGCCTAGGGGGGTTATTCGGCCCGCTGATGCCAAATATTCACATTGGTTTTGAACCGTAGCGTCATTTTCTCGGGTTACGGTAGCTACATGGTAACGGGTGTAAAACATAGTTCTGCCTGAAACGGGTGTAGGCGATTCGGACGATCATGAAGCTTTGCACACACGACCACCGCCACGCGATACACTCTCTGCTGCGGCTTTTGCCTAAGCAAAGCACAGGGGAAAGATACATTTGCCGATTTGCGTTTTTGACCCTTACCGTAAGCCTATCGTAATGCAGGGAAACGTTTTTGTGCAAAGAAAGTGTGACATTTCTGATCAGGATGTCGAATGACCCCTCTGTGCGAAGCTGCAGCGGATTTTGAGGTTTTGACCCCCTACCGTTTACCCACCGTAACCCGAGAAATTGAGGCTACGGTACAAAACCAATGTGATATTTGGCATCAGCGGGCCGAATAACCCCCCTGGGCCAAGTTTCGGGCAAATCCGTGATTTTGACCCCCTACCGTAATCTTACCGTAACTCCACCGGATGGCGCTATCGCATGAAATAAACATCATATTTGTGTTCAGCATACCAAATAACCCCTCTAGACGAAGTTTTAGCGAAATCCATGACAAAAAAATTTTGGGGCCCGGATACTGGAGAGTGATATCCTGAAGAGAAAGGAAATCATGCACTTTCAAAAAAAATTTGTGCAGGCTTACCGCGGCGACCTTAGTAGTCAGGCAACACCTAAGGCTGCGTTCATACTGATTCCCATGTTCTGGAACTGTTCCCGCATAGTTCTCGCACTGTGCTGAAACTGTGCGGGAACAGTTCCAGAACATGGGAATCAGTATGAACGCAGCCTAAGCCGTACTTTCTTAAAAATCTTTCGCTAGAAATGCTAGAAGCTCCAGTGAGATTTGATTGTAATTTTCAAATGTCGCTTTGCGACCGGCTCTTTTTGACTGAGAATTTATTCTGATTTTTCAATTTTGAAGAATGTCTCTTTTTCACAAACTATTTTCTATTAGTATTTCTAGATACTTTTTCTATCAATAATTTGTTGTGTCTTTCACTTCCAGGAGCATGGTATTCCTCTTTATCCTTTGCAATTACATGAGAAACAAGTAAAATTTGTTAAGAGGAGGATAAGAGATAATATCAAAAGGCGAGCGGAGGTAAAATCTTGGTGAACTGATCTTGGCTGCGAATCAGCGCCTGATATATGCTGCTTCAAGGTTATGTCGATTAAAAGATGCAAATCGTATTTAAACATTTGATCATTCACTATCACAGCAAATTTCAAACGTATTACACTCTCTAGACTATGCTACTGTCGAGTAGATTTTCCGCCTAATATGGTGTGCTTGCACTGAAGGTAAAATGCGGTAAGATTTGCGCGTGAACAAGTAGCCACGCCAGTAATGCCGGTCTTTTGCGCGCAATTGGTGCAGTGCAAGCACACTATATTAAGCGAAAAATCTACTCGACTGTATATTTATATAATATAACAATTACGTTAAAGCATAACATAAAATTCAATGCTTCATTTTATTTACAGAAGCCATGCGTATGTGACACAAAGAAAAGCAAAACCGCCTGAACATCCTAGACATGAATGACTCAACATCCGTATTTTTCCGATGGTTTTGAACACTATTTTTTGCGACACTGCAAAAAAAATCTTCAGGAAATGTTACCACAGTACCTTATCTTCGTTTTGTTTCTGGCTTGCGACTGCGCAGTTCCAATACCGCCCGATGATGTAAGAGTGCAATTAATTCGTGGACACATATACTGTACACTGCTCTATTATAAATAAAGTGACTAAAGCAAATTGCCTCCGCATCTACCAAAGCAGAACCAAGTACACAAGGTAAGGTTAAGACAATCTTATAAAGTAGATCTATCTTTCGTTGATATTCTAACATTTAAAAGGTGAGAGAGTTGGGGGAGGCTGCTGTAGTTCGTATAGAGGCCATGGAATGGGAAGCCGCAGCCGATCCAGACGACATTAACTCGGCGGACGTTATGGCCGAAGAGGAAGCCATCATCGAAGGCATCGCCATCATCATGGTCATTATCATCATCATAGATTCTAATAAGGACAACCAAAATGTTCCTTTTTCCATAGCTCGAAGACGTCAAAACAATGTCGATGACCACAAGTTATCGTTCTTTACTATTGTTTTATTTCATGCAGAACTTACCCTGAATTTTCAAAATGTCATCTAGTAAACACTGATTTGATGCAAAATGAATGCACGTTCCTTATCCTCCAACGGCCGAAAAGACATAAGAATATAAGAAAAGCATCATTCGTCTGAGCAACGCAAGCTCTACAAGACGGTGCTCGAGCAATCGCAAAAATTTCTATACACCGAAATCTTGGAAGAAAAGTCTGATAGATACTGAATCTTCAAAAGTAGCATTTTCGTCCAAAAAATCCTCCAATCTCCAACTTCTCAAAAAAGTTACTTATGACATAATAAATCATATATGCACTCTCTATAATTTTGAATAGCTAGGAGGTGAGAATATAAACCTGCTCTAGCAAAGCGTGCTGTAATTAGATCAAACTCATAGGAGATGTTGATATTGCTCTTGAGAGAAAAGAATTGTTAAGTTTGCAGAACGTTGTCTTTGTTCTATGTATGCATTAGGTTGGAAACTAAGTTCTGCAACTCATTCAATAATTTCCCTCTTTCTCGACATGGCATACTCAAATTTGTACCATTGAGTAGGTTATGACGTGAGCTATAAGAGCGGCAGGTGTTTTGCCAAAATCTGGCGTCGCAGTGAGAGTTAAAGGTAGTTTTATGGTATGAGGAGAAGAAGTATAAAATTTGACAGATTTGGTGGTTAGCAAAGGGGGCTATATGACGTGCTGATCACGATAACGATATTGAAATTGCGTGATAAGGGCTTTTTTCTTGAGAATACTGTAGGTTTACGATATAAAATCTCACCCTGAACAATAAAAGCGGCAAAAAAAAACAATAAAAAATTAACAAGTGAATATCATATTCGTGTTTGGCAAGTCAAATAAATTTGCTATGTGAAGTCTCGGCAAGTTTTACAGTTCTGACTTCTTGCCATTGACGGCTGTCCCCAGCACTTTTGGGTGCAGCAGTCTCATTCGACTTGTGATCACGCCAAATCTTGACTCGCAATTAAATTTTATTTTTTTCTTTTCGAGCCAAATGGGTCAACCTCTAGCAATACTTCGTACACGATTCCGGATTATTGCGCATAGTCTAGTCTGCTGAAGGCTTCTGGTTGAAAACTCAAAAAACCTCGAGTTTTACTAATTTGTGAAAAATGCCTGGAAATTTTCTAATTCGTGTTCAAAATTCAAACAGTTTGTGCGATGTTGTAACACACATGCGCCCTATAGTACAGTGGCAAAATTCGAGTGCATCACATCCAAAGAGAGTAAAGTTATGAGAGGACTTGCAAAACTTAGGTTCCAGCCTAATAATTTGTTGATGTAGCACTCACATCAATAGCATAGGAGACCGCACATCAAGCTATTTGCACTGCGCTATGCTCATTATCCTTTACTTGCAAACGTGAAATTACGAACAGAAATACATGTAACAGCAAACAGACTGGAAGTTACCTCTGAAATCGGATAATGAGCAAGACCCCGCTTTCGCTGAGGCCAGTATTAGTTTTGAAGCCCTTCCGCAGCTGTACAACAATATTAGGGAATGCACAAATATCACATAGTACGAAAATATGTAATACAATGATATACATAGTTAAAATTGGGGAGGCGTGCAAGTGTTACCCAGGCAGCCGCCTGGTGCCGCAGCCAGCCGCCAGAGCTGGCACCAACGCCGCGGCTGAGCTACCGTAAGCGCGCTCTCGTCGTCCGCAATCTCTCGCAGAGAGATTTTCGCAGCAACCTCGCACCTCATCGCGCTGAGGTGCGAGGCTGCTGCGAAAATCTCTCTGCGAGAGATTGCGGACGACGAGAGCGTGCTTACGGTAGCTCAGCCGCGGCGTTGGTGCCAGTCCTGGCGGCTGGCTGCGGCACCAGGCGGCTGCCTGGGTAACACTTGCTACGCACCCTTAAAATTGTACAATAAGGACGCTTCCATTTTGGCAAGTTCATGTTTCTGGGAACTCCTCTCTGGTCTTTGCGTCAGCTGCCTTTTTGTACAGAGGAGCACTAGTAGCTAGAAGCGATGCTGAGGCAATGAACTATTTGGAGATGGTAGGATTAGGACTATGAATCAATGGTATTACATAACGCGTCCATTATAAAAACCAAAATAGAGCTAAAGGGATTTCTGAATTATTATCGTCGAATCGAGGAATGAAACGCATCGAAATTACCGTAACTTCACCATTACAAATCAAAACTTTTTTGCATTAGGGTCAGATCCTTTGCATATCTATTCAAACTTCAGTGATCTCGTACAGTAAAGAAAAGAGTTCCTTACAGCAACGTTATGAGTACAGCTTTGAGCTTTAGCATCTTGGTATGTTGGTATGTTTTAGACGCAACTTGAGAATGGTGCGGCATCTTCAAATGACACAGTAGTAACGGAAGTTTCTGAGAATTTGGACGAAACTTATGATGATAGTTCTGAAAACACTCCATCCTATGGAGAAGAAACTTCTGATGATTCCGAGGCAGAATCAACCGAAGGTGAAGAGACTTCAATCTCTGGAGAAGAGAGTTCTGATGATGAAGTGGCGCCACCTCCTCCCATAGAAGGGAATCCTCAAGGAGGTTGCTGTTCGTTCTGCTGCCCAGGAGTCTGCTGTTCGTATGGAGGTCATCCATGGGGTCCATGGGGTCCATGGGGTCACGGCGGTCGGAGAAGACATCACCGAAGTAGGGGTCGCTTCCATGGAAGAGGACATCGTCGAGGATATCGCCGCGCTAATTTCGGATATTATTATGACCACCCTAATCAATTCGGATATCAGTATGGCAACTACCTTAATCAGTTCGGTCCGTATAACCACCACTTCAATCAGTTCGGATCTCAGTATCAACAGCAACCTCATCATTTCGGCAATCCGTATTACTACTACTAAAGAAAGTATTTGTTATAATGTTTCCTCCTATTGTCGTCGAGAGAGGAAAAAACAACATTCTTTTCAATTCAGGATTGAGTGAAATATAGTAGGACCATGCCTGTTTTTTTTGCGTGCCAACTGCGATGAGAGTTTAGTTTGACACCAAAAAATTTGTAGTGTTCCGTATATTTGACGGCCAATGTCGTGCATCTGCGATGATAACAACTTTTGCGCGGAGACATGCGCCAGCTTTGTGCACTTTGAACAACTTCGTGCTTGCATGTTAAAGTGGCAATCAGGAGCACCTTGACCTTTCACTTGCAAAAACGTCGTTCAGAAATGAATTTCAAAGATATCCCGGTTAGTTTTGCTTCTTCTCAAATACAGTAGGCCTAGCTTGCATTCTAATTCAAAAAATATATCTGAACGTGTCCCTTAAAGGCAGCGTCCGGGCAGTACGAAAATGTAGAGCACAGGTGCGCCCGTCCTGGTAAGGCTCTTGCCCAACTGGCAATGCACGAATTTGCTTCTGAAGCGAGAAATCCGCTTCAGAAGTGACGACCGGAACGCCCCGGCGACCGGGCGAGTTAGTTTGATAAGCCAGAGTGCGCATACCGCACACAGTCAAGACGTAGGATCCCACAAAGACTGCGTCTTAACCGTGGCTGCAGGCGACAAAATTCAAATCAAGAGCTCCTGGAAAAGCCCGTTTTCGGCGTTTTCGTGCTCTCCAAGCTGCATTTTCCGAGTCAGGGGGAGGAATAAGCCCAGGTAAGCGAGAAAAATTCTATTTGAAATTTTGCCCGGACGCTGCCTTTATGCAATCGCATACTTGCACCACATCTAGATAGCAAACATTATGAGTCGTTTGCAAAATGTTATGGTGACACTGAAAGAGGGTCGGTAGTGGAGCTGTTTGAAAGCAGCTTAAACTTACGGACAACTCTGACAAGAAAATGGGAAGTTGAAGTGGGAGTCCAAAAGCTGCAAGCCCTCGGATGCAGCATATATAGAAGACTGTATTTGCTACGCTTTCGTTGACGAAAGTCAAGAGCAGTATCGCAAGGAAATCCTATGTACAAATAAGAAATCAATCACATTATTTAGCTCACCTTCAAATGGGATTTAGACAATCTAGTTTCATGTTTGCCCAGCATGAAGCCAGGTATGGCTCTGGCCAAATTTGCACATACACGATTTCTTTGCATTATGATGGCTTTATAAATTCGTCCAAGAAAGCGTGCAGTTGGTACAAAAGAAAGATTTAGACACCGCATTCTATGCTGCAACAAGCAAAATGCGGCTTGTTTGGGCTGTCCACTTCGACTTCTTATCACTTCCTTGCGAACTCAAGGGTGTAAGTAAAGAGATCTCATACTTTTGCAACTCACAAGGGAAGTCCGCTTGGTAGAAGTGGCGACTCGGAAGGTGATGTTAACGTACGGACAGAGCACAAAACGCTGATCTTAAACATACTCTACCTGCAAAGCATTTTCCTATAGGAAGTTGCGATATTTTTTGTATTTATCAACATAATGAAAATATGGTACAGAATTAAAATGAATGACAACCTGCGGATTATAAAATAGATAAACAACACTCGAAATCGTTTAGTAATATCAGACTAGACCTCAACACTTATTAGAAGTTGCTTGCGCCTGCATATTTTAGTGTAAAAACTACCGTGATTTCACGACTCGGTATGCGCGACAATTTGGCGTAAGCAAATCTCATAGCCTTTTGGAAAAAGCATCGCAGATGTAGAGAGTATGCCTGAAACCATGTTCAAAGCTCTATCTATGCGTATACATCACCTTCAAAAAATTCCCCCTGTCAGAAAAAACCTATAAACTTCGTCCTGGCAGAAACTATTAGGTCCATTTTTCAGTTGGCGGAATATGAAGCGAAAAAGAATTACAACGGCAGCTTTGGATTGCCTCAGCGATAATGTCAAGAAAGCTCAAACGCATTACCCGTCGGCTTTTTGTAGCCGCCGCAGGAACACTCCGACTGGGAATTTAGAGAGGCATATACCTCCGTTGAATCTTGAATATTTTCGCTCACTTCCGCTTTTCTCGGATTTTTTCTAGTTTTCCGGTATTCTCTTGATTTCCCCTGAATTTTGCTAAGCAAAATTTTCCTCTATCTCCTACCTTAGTATCAATAACACCTTTTTTTTCGTCAGCGTTTTCTCCATCACCTCTGAGTCTCTTTGATTACTTGCTTTTTCCCCCAATTTATATTTGTCACATTGTGTGCCCTCTCTAACTGTGTGAGAACTTTTTCTCTCTAGCACGTATTTTTTTCTCTTTCTTTGATCCAGTTTTCTCCAAAAATTTTTCAAAAACCTCTCAATCAATAAGGTCATGCTAGCAAGGTCGGTCAAATCTAACTCACAGCCTACGTCGGTTCGCACCACGAAAAAAAGGGCCATTTCTTCAACCCAAAATTTGCCGACAGTGAACACTGCAAGTGTTAAGGAAGGGGAGGAGGATTTTGGAGCTTTCAGTGTTAGTGAATTGATCGAATCAATATTGGAGAAAAATACTGATCCCAATATTGAAAAGATGGTCCTAGCACTGAAATCCAAAATCCCCCTTGACGTTGAAGCGGAAAAAAGGGGTCGCTCTATAGTTCTAGCTGGGGTAGAAGAATCGGAGCCGGGTAAGCCTCTTTTAAAGCGTAAGGCAGACTTGGAATCTCGCGTGGCCGAAGTGTTGGAGGTCCTTAAGGTGGACTGTTGGCCCACGGAAATTTATCGTATGGGCAAATTCGATGTCAACAGGCCTAGACTAATCAAAGTGGTCTTCCCATCCCACTCTTTTTGGGCCCAGGCGCTCTCCAACTCCCCTCCCACCTTTTGAGAGGGTCTAGTCTGCGCAACGTATTTGTACGTAGAAGCATGACGGCTTCGGAAAGGGCTCAAGAATTCGAGCTTCGGCAGATCGCCAGGGACCGGAACAAGGGGAAGGCCGTGAAAGAATGGTTCGTCTACAAAGGCGAACTTCGCCATATTTCGCAGCTTCCAAAACGTCAGGGAAACGCTTAGAGCAGCCTGAAATTTCCGCATCATTACAGTGTCTTCTTTTCAATTCCCGCAGCATAGTGAATAAATTGGATCTTTTGCATGTGTTTGTCAGTTTTCATTTACCTGATATTTTATGTATTACCGAAACTTGGCTTAGCTCTAAGACTCCCAACTCCGAAATTCTTTGCGACCTTCCCTATTCAATATATCGCTCTGACAGGATCTACCGCAGGGGAGGAGGCGTTTGCTGTTTGATAAAGGAGGGCTTAGGTGTGGAACGAGTACGAATTGTGAATGAATGTAGTAGCGACGTCCTCTGTTTGAACATCTGGTCACCTTCTTCTCCTTCACCCTTACAATTTGTTGTAGTATACCGACCACCGTCCTCAACTTCTGATGATGACGTTGCTTTAGCCGATACCATCCACGATGCTTGCTCTTTTCCATATCCTACCGTAATCCTAGGAGACTTCAACATTGACATTTTTTCTCCTATGACCCGCACCGAATCACAGCTCCTGTCTTCGATCAGTAATTGTGACTTTTGTCAGAACGTGTCTTCTCCTACCAGGGGGAAATCTGCTATTGATCTAATTTTCTCATCTACCAATATAGTCCAAAACGTAAAAATATTTCCGCCTTTTGATTCTTCGGACCACAACACTCTAAGTTTTGGTGTATGCTTTGATTCTAGTAAAAACGCTTTTTTACCATATCATGACTTCCTCAAGGCTGACTTTTCCAAAATCAACAATGAATTACATGACATTAACTGGTACGATGTTTTCGACAATTACGAAACTGTTGATGACATACCATCGCTTTTGTAATGTATTATATCGCATTCTTGCTAAGTACGTGCCTTTCCGTTTTGAACCGTTCCAGATCAGCAAATATCCTAATCACATTCGGAATCTAATTGAACAAAAAAATAGAATTTTTTCGCAATCTCGTGATCCGTT